TAGGCATAGAGCTCACAGGAGAAGGATATAAAGGGGAAAAAAAATAAGCCAAAGAAATCAGTTGATCTAGTTCTTGAAGTACTCAGTTCTTGTTTCTAAAACCCCTGCCAATGCATCTGCACAGCTGGGCTTTGAAATCGGACACATTGCCAACTGTGTACACCATACATATTCATCTCTGGCTTGGCTTCTTCACTCTGCAAGGAAGGTAGCTGAGATCTGCTTAGCTGGGCAAATTATGCAAAATATTTCTGCACAGGGCTTTGCCTCTTCGTTAGGACAGAACCCAGATGATGCTGGAGACTTTAGCCCTCTCTTAAAATAAATCCCCCAAAGCAAATGCAATTGAAGCAAACTTGAAAGGAGAGGAATGCAAATGTTGGTATAGAAAATCAGTTGCTTGGGAAATAACAAACCTGTGCATATTTTTAAACACTGGCTATAAAATATATTTGGTTGTAATCATCATTTCTGTCTGCATCAACGGATATAACTACTGAGTTTTTTTTTTACTTTGAATAGAAATCGTAAGCACATGGCCTAACATGACCATGAGCTCTAGAACTAGATGATTTGATTATGGGAAGATTCTAAAATGTTGACACTAATTCATTATTGGTTAGTGTTATGACTTGGATCTTCCCAAAGTCTCATGTGTTGAAAGTTTGGTCCCCAGCTGGGGGCACTGCTGAGAGGTGACTGGATCATGAGGTCATGAGGGCACCATCTTCACTACTGTGTTACTCCGTTGACAAATTCCTATTGAGTTAGCTGTTAGGAGCCAGGCCTGGTTGGAGGAAGGAGGTCGCTGGGAATACACCTGTGAGTGGTTTAGCATGTCTGGGGGCCACATGTGGCTGTCTCTCTTCCTTCTGGTTGCCATGAAGCGAGCAACTTTGTTGTGCCATGCCTTTCTGTTATTCTGTTCTGTCTCACTATGGCCCAGAAACAACAGAGCCAGCCACTTAAACCTCTGAAATCATGAGCCAAAATAAATCCTTCCTCCCTTAAGCTGTTTTTAATCAGGTTATTTTGTCACAGCAGCAGAAGGTTGACTAATACTGAAAACTGGAATTGAGAAGTGGGGTCATACTACCTGACTATGTGTTTCCTAAGCTTTTGGAAATGGAACTTGGAAAAGTTTTAGGAAGCAGTCTGAAAAAAAGCTTAGATTGCTGCAGGCAGAGCTTATTGGGTGATTTTGGTGGGAGCTTAGCAGACCAGAATACCACTAGAAATGGGGACAGTAAAGACTAGGTTCATGGTGTTTAAAATGGACATGAGGATACTTAAGACCATTTGCATTATATTATGGCAAAGAACTTGCCTGCATTTTGTCTATTCCCTGATACTTTTGGGGGCTGAATTTAATGGTGATGGACTAATTAATCTGGTAGAGGAAATTTCAAGGCAGCACAGCATTTAGGCTGTGACATGGGTATTGCTGGAAGCTTTTAGCCAGATTTAAAGTGAGAATTGAGAGGAAAAAGAACAGAAGGATTTGAGAAACTTGAAGTTTGGCCAGAAAAGAAGTCCACTTAAAGTTGAGACCAAGGAAACTTGTTGCTGAAGAAATTAGCACCATTAAAAGGAAGCCAAATACTTTGTGTCAGGGACAATAGGAGTGATGCCTTGAGGGCACTTCAGGAATTGGGAGGACACCACTCACAGCAGGCTCAAGGGTTTATGGTATAAACTCATTTGAAAGCTTTCGCTTTGAGAAGAGAGCTCCAGGATACCACCCTGTTTACTCAAGGCCACGTAGGAAGCCATCCAGGCACTCAGAAGCTGCTATAGCCATAGTCCAAGTAGGCCTGGCTACTGATCGAGCTGCAGACCTTGATGTTGTCCACATGGTGCTAGTTTTGCAGGCATGCAGAATACATGAGTTATGGAGTCATGGAGACCTCTGCCAGGATTTCAAAGGAAGGCCTGAGAATCTAGGCAATGTGTAGCAGGGTCAGAATCTTTGTGGGAAGTTCCTGAGAGGGCAAAACATGGAGCTGTTTCAGTGAAGCCAAAGCTGTGATGGAGACCACAGGACGCTGAAGATGTCAGAAATGCAAAATATCTGCTAAGGAAAGCTGCAGGCAGCAAGTAGAGTTAGCCCAGGAGAAAGGCCGTGTAGGCTGCAGGAGGAAAAGACATAGGGGCAGGATTGCCCAAACTCTTCAGAGACCACATCACATCACTGTGTTATGCAGAGGCTGGACATGGAGCTATAGAAGTTAATGTTTGTCTTGCCAGGTTTTGGTCCCAATGCTCCTTCCTATGCCCCCATTCCTCCCTTTTGGAGTGGAAAAGTTTACTCTGTGCCATTGTACATTGGAAGTATGCAACTTTAAAAAAATTGCAGGGACTCATAGCTAAGTGTTTGCCTTGAGTCTCAGAGGAGTGTTTGGACTTGGACTTTGGAGCAGTTGTAGAACGTTGAGATGGGATTTTTGAAGGTTGACTGAAAGGATTTTGCATTATGAGCTTTTTGAAGGCCAGGATGGGATAATGCTATAGTTTGAATATGTGTTGAAGGCTTGGTCTCCAGCTGGTGGCAGTATTGAAAGGTGATTAGATAATGAAGACACTAACTTCATCAATGGGTTAATGCATTATCAAATGCATACTGAATGAATTATTAGGAAGTGGGGCCTGTTGGAGGAAGTAAGTCACTGGAGGTGTGCCTTGGAAGAGTATATCTTGTCCCTGGCCCCTTCTGGTCTCTCTGCTTCCTGGTTGCCATTAAGTGAGGAAATTTGCTCTGCCATGCCCTTCTGCCATAGTGTTCTGCCTCACCATGGCTCAAAAACAACAGAACTAGCTAAGCAAAGGTCTGAAACCTTTGAAATGATGAGCAAAATTAAATCATTCCCTTAAGTTTTTATCAAATATTTTGTCACAGAAATGGGTAACAAATACAGGAATAATATACTGTATATTATATAGTTTAGACAAATAAACAAAAAAAGACTTGTAACTATAATTAGTAGAACCATATTCATAGGAAAGTCTTTAACTTTGCTCATAAGATTGCAAACATTTTAAACTTAACATTTATGATATGAATATTTATCAGTTTCTATAATTAGCAACATTAGATAGCTTTTAAATTTTTATTTCTATTTTTTCCCATTAATTTTTTTATTAGGATATATTTGTTGTACAAGGGGTATTCATTGTGACAATTCCAAACAGGCTTGTATTGTACATTGGTTAGATCACCCCCACTGTCCCTTCTCCTCAACCTCTCCTGCTTCACTGAAAACTATTGCAGGAGGTTTCTGTGTTCTATTTCATATAAGTATATCAACTCCATCAACCATATTCCCTCACCTTAATCTCCTTCATTCACCCTCCCTCCCCATAACTGCCCCCCCATACACTGTACCTACTTTATGGTCCTGTCTTTCATTATTAATATCTAAGTTGATGTTCAAAGGGGTTTCCTAATGTATCCCCGCTGGGAGTATACTTTAATTTGGTCAGTTCAGCCCCTTCCATTATTCTCCCTAACCCCCTTACCTCCCACACCCCTATTTTACAACAGCTTTCAATATATACCTTTATATCCTCTACCTTCACTAGTGTTATGTTTTACGATATCATTGCTGCTCTATCATTCTCTTTCCTTTCCCTCCTTCCCCAAGTTCCATAGAGAAGTTCCACTGTTACAAACATGTTTTAATATGAGTTTGTATATGATCATGTTTGTTTTTGTGTATATGTTTATCTTTTAGATCTATCTTATACATATGAGAGAAAACATGTGGCCTTTGGCTATCTGAGCCTGGTGTACTTCACTTAACATGATGTCCTCCAATTGCATCCATTTACCTTCAAACCACATGTTGTCATTATTTCTTAGGGCTGTGTAAAACTCCCTTGCATATCTATCTATCTATCTATCTGTATGTATCTCACATTTTCTTGATCCAGTCATCAGTTGTAGGGCCTCTGGGTTGTTTCCAGAGCTTGACTGTTGTGAACAGTGCTGTGATGAACACTGGTGTGCAGGTGTCTCTACTGCATCCTGACTTATAACTTACACTCCTTTGAGTGGCTGTCCAGGAGCAGTATCACTGGATCATATGGCAGTTCTAGCTTTAGCTAAACTCTCTTAGTTAATGGACTTTTTTCAATTAGCTCCAGCTTCTTATAACCAGATGAAAGGGTTTAGATTGCAGGGTTATTAAAGGTTTGCTCCAAGAAGTTTGTTAGAAATGTAAATCTCAGCCTCACCTGGGGATAGCACACAGAATCTGCTTTTTCATAAACTCCTCAGGTGATTCTGAGGCCTCCTGGAGTTTGAGAAGCATTGCTCCACCTCCACTCTACTCAAGTTACTGGAGGCACTGAGAATGGATACAGCCCTTTTCAAACCACCGCATGGCACAAGAGCATCAGGAAACACTAAATTTTCCTATTTACTCTGACTCTGCAGTCCTACTTTTAGAAATATTTTGTAAGGAAATCATTCCAAAGAAGATGAAAAGTTGAATAAAGATATTTATGTACAAAAATATCTGTGATTCTACAATCTACAATAATGAAACAACTGGAAATAACAAAGATAGGTATTCAGGGTTTACAAAATGTTTATAACAAAGTTAAGATAAAAATTCAACATTTACCATAGTTGTAATTATGTAATATAAATATCAATGGAAGCATGAAAATGACTAGTTCCACTGCATTAGGGTGACATTCAGTGGTGATTTAGTTCTCATCTTTGCATTTCACGGTGATTTAGTTTTCATCTTTAAAATTATTTTAGCATAATTATAATAATATGTATAATGAAAATATCTTAATTATATCATTTAAAAGCACCATTATTTAAAATTCATTCCACACTCTCAGTGCACAATTTAAAGATTCTTTTAACTAGGTAAAACACTGCTGCAAAGTCACTAGCCAGCTGTTGTCTGTAAAACATTAAGATCTGCAGTCTTCTTGACAGATGGGCAGTTAGGAAAATCAGTGTTAAATGAGAATGCTCTCAATACCTGAATTATCTTCATCTTTACGGATTTTGAGTTTCACCAGGTCTTCGCACTGCTGGAGAATCTGGACTGCATCTTCCATGGAACAGTTGTCTAGCCGGATGTTATCTATTGCAAGTAACTTGTCCCCAAGTTCCAGGGTTCCAGTTCTGTTAATGAATACAAGTAACACATGACAATGATGCACACTTAAGCAGGCCATTTAAAGAGGCATTAAGCAGAATACAGTATTACGGTACTCTTTAGGGGAAAGAGGGTTTTTAAACTACTTTTAATTGCATTTTACTGACAAATCCCCATTTTTTTCCAGTCTTATTTGGGATGGTTTCTGTGACAATAAATTGCAGAGTATTAAAAACATTTTTCATTTTGCTTTCAAACTAGGACATCCACATAAGCTTCACTCAGGAAATCCAAGGTTCTAGGGAAGGTAAGTAAGGGTTAGGGATCTGTAGAGATCCCAGCATCCCTGTGTTCCTCCATATTTTTGCACCACTCTCAATCCTTTGCAATCAGATGCTAGGAGAGGGCTGAGGGAGTGAGGGGATTCAAGGTGGGATGGAGTTAGTTGAGAACGGAGGCTTGGAAATCTGTCATTTCCACCTGTACCTGGAAGGTCACTATAGCTGGAGTTGGGAGAAAAGGTATAGATGAGTCTGATAGGTCTATTTGGAAAGTGGCCTCTGAAAGTATAATACTGACTATGGACCAGTCTGGTCTGCTGAAAGTTTTTAAGGTCCATGACAAAATCAGTAAAATAGGAGAATGTAGCACTTATGTGTTTGTATGTGTATATATATATATGCACACATATTTATGTTTGTGATAGAGACCACCAGTTGTTTCCCAAAATTCATTCCCCCTTTCCTTCTTTTGGCTCATTCCCTAAAAATGCATGCTCCAGATTCTCCCAGCACCCCTCCCAACCCCAATCTTCTACTTATGGATAGGAATAGGGGATGACTGACAAGTGGATGGGATGGCTCTCTAGCCCTTGATTGTCTGCCTACCCCCCACCTGCTATATAAGAGACAAACTTCTGTTTTGTTTGAGCCTCAGGATTTATGCTTCCACAGCAGCTAAGACTATACCTATATAATGTAAACTGATACAATGTCCTTCTTACTTTTTGAGTATTAAAATGTTTATTTGGAAAGTTAACAGTCTTATATCAATATGCTCAATCACCTAAAAAGTATTTTTATCTGTGAAATAAAAAGTTTCAGATTTCTTTATTTTGATGATATAAAGGCCAAATAGCAAATATGAACATTGCTGGCAGTTCAAGAATCTTGCTTGTCCAGGGAGGACACTTTGGCATCTAGCAAGCTGTCTCATAAGCTACTGTGTCTGTGAGGGATATTTTTCATAATTGGGCTACATTCAGGGTTTCAGCTGGAAAATGAAAGCTGGAAGATGATCAGTGAAAGAAAGACCCTAAAAAAACATTTTAGCAGATTACTATCTGCTCTGATTGACTAATAATGCCTGCCCAGACAATATTGAGAATATAGTGATCCATTGGCAATGTCTACCTTGGGCATGGAAGGGGTAGTTTCTGTTTAAATTAAGAGATGCTTAGGAATAAACCATTTCTGTATACATTTTGCTTACCTGTGTGCCACACTCCCTTTCTTGATATCTGAAATGACAAGGGGGTCTCCTGGTTTTCTGCTGGATGGTGCTGAAATAATGAAAGTAGAATAATCATACCTTTTTATCTAGGATCCACTCAGAACTGTATATTCCCTGTTTTATACTAACTTTAGAGTTTGTATATAAATCAAAGATAATCAGTAAACGAACTGAAAATATGCACATTATGTCCCTAAAACTTCTTGTGTAAGCATTTATAAACTTAAAAACTAAAGCAAAGTTACTTAAAATTGCAATTGAGAAGGCAGCTGGGGAGCTGACCATCAGGTTTAATCTGTAATTCTCAAGAGGGACCCAAAGAGTTCATATCTTCATAGAAGAATATGAATATCACTTGGGGGCTCTCTGATGGTAGTGAATGTCATCCTTTCTTCCACCCCTTCCTCAAGTCCATCCCAGTAGGAGGCAATATTCTTTTTTCATTTTTAATGATTTTATTAGCATATAATAGCTATATGGGGGATACATTGTGATATTACATATGTGTTGTGGCTATCTCCCACTGGTTCCCACCCCCAGAAAAGATTGATTTTTTTCCTCCTGCCCTTCATTTCTTAAAATTAAGGGCACTATCAATATAGTTCAAGGGGGTTTCACCTTGGTACTTTACCCCCCATTACTTATTCATTCTTTATTACCATGTTCCCCTAATATTCAACCACTTACTGCATAGTGCATTAGTTATATTCATATATAGATGGGTTGTTTCAATATTTTTCATTCTCTAGTATTTTCTTTATCTAGGAGATACACTCTTGATGGGAATGTGCCATGTTATTCAAGTATACCAGCCAGCAAAGTAGATAAGAATCACTAATTTAATATTCCTTTTTCCTGGAAAGAAATTTTTTGATACAGGACTATAAATCTTTAAATTCTGCTCACAAATTCATTCCTAGAAGGTTCTGGAATGTGACTATTTCATTGACTATAAACATTCTGTTTCTAATTAACTAAATTTTATATTTAATTTAATATATTAATTTTAATATTTTAACCATGTGCATAGAACTTTTATTAAATTTAACAGATAAAACTCATTCTGTATAGTGGTCAGTTTGGGGCTTTATAAATTTTCTTAAGACTATTTCCATTTGATAAGAATGAAAAACAATCAGGAATAAGCTTACTTTGAATTAATCCTGGAGATGAGTTATAGTCCACATAACACAAAAAAACTCCCTGATTTATAAAGTTTATACATCAACACTTGTATAAACAAAAAGCAAAAAACCACAACTGGCCTCTGAGAAGAGATGTTTTGCTAACCTGAAGCCTGTAATGATTTCCTTATAGAGATCATTAAAAGGCCCCTAAAGTAAGATTTTATTATAAGCAGTCTGATCATCCCACAATAACCACAGAACCATATCATAGCCCATAATCCCATCTGAATCCCACGAAAATGTTTCTGCACAAGAACAGATGGTTCAACATTTCAACACAACATTTAAAGAAAAAGCAAACCCACATCCCAAGACTTTATCCACTGTCAAAGTTAGTCCACAGTAAATGTTAATGAGACTTCATTTTATCATTATAATTAGCTTCTACCAAAGAATGCAAAACACTGTATTCACTACAATCAATTCATTATTTAAACCTTCATTCAATGATCTGATATAATTTCTCTAGAGGAATTATAAACGTCTAGCAATTTTACTCATGTTATATTCCCAAACTGCAAACAGTTCTGGGTATAGGACATAAAAATAAAAACTTTGTTATTACCAGCAAGTATCACTTTGCGAGTATCTGCCAATGATACAGAATTTTGCCAAGCTGCAGTAAACCTCACATAGCACTCAAATTTTTCCTTTGGCTAAAAAAAATTCATGTTCCACTGAAATGGTATATGCAACTCAACAACAGCAGCAGAAATAAAACACATCAGCCCCACCTCTGTTATTTTTGCATTGAGGAAAAGAGCACCGTGACCTTGTGGGTAAATCTACACAACTTTTCAGAAAAGTCAGAAACTTTTTATGGTCTGTAGACATGCAGGGTTGGCTGTTCTCATTAGATTACTTTCTTTTGCCTCTAATCAAGTCCATTTTTCAGACTTGAAAGGTTTATCAAGGTGGATGCCACTGGGGTGATGAAGTTGGACACAGAGTAGGTGTGAACATGTATGAGTTCCTGCTTCTGTCATTACCATGTGTGTTCACACAGTTCAGTCATGGTTGGTACACTCTACCACCATGTTTAATTCTCCACTGCCTAAAAAGTCATAACCAAGCGTGCTTTACTTTCCTTATAGTGCTTCAAAACACATCAAAGTAATAGATTTTATTAAGTAGATATATGGCTTTTTTCTAGAAAGAGGGGGTGGGGTACAGACATGGTATATTGAATAGGAGCTGAGACTTAGCAGCAGAATGGTCGAGTTCAAAATCTTGGCTCTGCCACTTTTAGGTGTGCTTGAGCACATGGGCTTTAGGTGCCTTGTTTCTGAAAATGGTAATGATGAATAATAACAGTGTTTACCTTACAGTTTTCATTGGGAGGATTACATGAATTACTACATGTAAAGTGATTGAACCAGTGCACACAGAATGCAATATGTAAACGCTTATTATTATCATCAGGCCATACTGAACTCACTTTCCTACTCCTCCCTTTAGATGGAGCCTTCATCTTGCTAACTTGCCTCACCCCTCAGGGCTTCTGAGTGTCTGATCCTTGGAAGAAGAATACACATCAGCCAGTGCTTTGGATTGACAGGAATCCTCCACAGAATCACTGAATTCTGAGTATCAACTATGAGTGAGTCATCTCTGCACTGGGCATTGGCTATGAAACCTCAAGTCAATTGGATAAGAAAGAAGAGGCAGGACTGGTTAAACCTCATGAGATGAGGAGGCAGGAAGTAGTTTTTTTCTCTTCAGAGATTTGATTCTTACTGGGAAGGCCATACAAACGCATCTCGAGTTGGGGTGGGGTGTACTGAATGAATCAAGAGTGTGGCTTTTGAAGGAAGGACAACAAAACATTAAGTTCTGAAAAGGAAGGATAGCTCCTTGAAATCTCAACTTATCTGTCAAACACACAGAACTGAAAGCCTGACAAAAGGGACCAACACCAACAATGCAAAACTCCATGTTATACGATACATATTAAATTTACTCTTTCCCACTCATACTTCATGAGATAGTTTTAATTCAGGCTCCTCACTTGTATCTTCAATGTCACTGACCATGTACTAGACCCACATTATTACAGTCATCCAGAGGCTTGTTCAGAACCCATCATCCTCATGTCTGTATACAGTGCTTTTTCAATCCAGCAGCTGGGTGTCACTGGCAATGTCATCTCAAATCACAAACAGCCATTTGTATAACATAACAATAACTGACATTTTCCATATTGCCCATAAGTGTATATTCTTGACCCTCCACAAAGAAACTACTTCCTGTATTACTTTTTAAATTTATATCAAAATTGTGTATAAATATAACTTCAAGAGTCAGAAGTTCTATAAGAGCCATCCTCAATGTCCTGCCTCCCTAGATCAGTCACAGACGGTACCTGATATGAGGATGCTTCAGCTTATAGTTTTTGGGTTTTTTTCACTTAATGATTCAGTAGAAATTATACTTTGAAGTTTGAATTTTGATCTTGTCCAAGGCTAGCGAAATATGGCACGTCTATATCATACCATATATCATATTCTTATGATCTTGGTCAGTGGAAGCAAGCCATGATTCCCAGTCAGCCATGCGGTCATGTGGGTAAACAACCAACGGTCTTCGGTGCTCTTTTGCTAAGCTATGATGTTTTCTAGGTTAGGTGCATTCATTGCATTTTTGACTTACGATAGTTTTAACACATGAGGGGTTTATCAGGGACATAATTCCACATTAGGTAGAGGAATGTTTGTATCTTCCACTCTTTTGGTTGTTTCCATTTTGTTAAATAGCATATGACTACTATTACTATTAAATTATATTTCAGGCCTAGTGATTATTTCTATTACAAAAAAATGAGGTGTTAGTCGTCTTTTTACTCTAGTACTACCACTATATTCTTGTACCTTTCTTGCCCTCCATTATTCCAACAGTTTACTACAAATAATTTTTGTATGATCAATATTCAGTATTGACTTAACAAAAGTATTCTCAGAAAGTAAGTCATGTCTCCCTCCTTTTCTGCAGAATGTTTGCCCAGTAGTTATGCATTGTCTTGATGTTTTTGTTTGCTTAGTTTTCCTGTGTTTATCATTAATTCAATTCTAAGTCTTCTCTCAATATGTTAAATCTTATCAGGAATTCTAGCAGCGCTGTCATACATCTCTGGATGGGTTGCTTCTAAGATTGTCACAAAGACCTAAGGATTGTCCTTTGACCCTGGGAACCCAGAGATTCATTCACTGCTCTTTTGCATCCCTGGAGCCTTGCATCTGAGACAACTCTCCCTCTTTCTGGCTTTTGGTGGCCACACTCTCCTGTAGTTTCCTGAGGAAGAGTGCATGGGAAGGGTTTTTGTTTTGTTTTGTTTTTGAGAACTTGTATAGCTGAAAGTATATATATATTTTTACATGTATATTTTACTGAAATTTTGGGTAAAGAATTCTAGGCTAGAAAACCCTTCCCTTCAGAATTTTGAAGGCACCCTTCCATTGATTCAATAGCTTCCTAGTTTCCATAGTTGCTGTTGAAAAGGCTGATGCCATTCTGAATATTTGATTAATGTTTTATTTTTCTGACCCATTGTGTAAAAACTCTCCATCCCTTTCCCTCCCATTAGAGCCCTATAAGACTGCTTGTTTGTCAGTGTTCTCAGATCTCAGGATGATGTACCTTGGGGTGGGTTTGTTTTCATTCATGGGTTATGGGCCCACTGGTTTGGAAACATATCCGTCAGTTCTAGGGTAATTTTTAAACTTTTTTGCGGTATAGGGGATTGAGCTAAGGGCCATGCACTTACTAGGCAAGCACTCTACCACTTGGACCATGAGCCCAGTTCTTTTTGTTTTTAGTTTGTTTCTCAGACGGAGTCTCCAACTAATGTTGCTGGGCCTAGAACCAC